GGTGGTGAGACTCAGAGAAAGGCCTCTCTTGATGATCTTAACACTCAAGCAAGCTTGTACCTCCTCCCTCCCCCTCCAAAATAGTGTTTCTGGCAGTTGTGCACTTGATGACACAACTTATTATTTATTTTCTTTAAAATATTTCTGTCCCGCCTTTCTCCCCAAAAGCACCCAAGGCTGCTCAAACTTTCCTTCCTTTTCCTTATGGCTCATCGTTCCCCCCGCGCCACAAAGCCCCACGCAAGCCCTGAACCTAATTTTGAAGTGTTGAAAAGTTAGCGAACTTTGCCAACGACGAGCGATAACTCGGGGATCATTTTTGGACAAAGCCCAAACATTGTACGCCAGTGTATCCGAGACGCCTGCCCTCAACGTTGGAAAACCTCCCCTCAGCTCCTGCCTTGAAGATGTTTTTAATAAGGTCCCTGTGGTCTATTTCCACAGATATAACAAAAGCAGAAAGAAAATCAAAAGAAGGCAGCATATTTCTCTCCCCCCCCCAAGATCTCTTCCAGCGTGAGCTTTCATCGATTATGCATATGCGGAAATGGATTTTAAATCCACGGAATCTCATTTTTGCAAAGATTATTTTAAGGTGCCCCCTCCAGTCTTTTTTTTTTCTTTCTTCTTTTTAATTGTGCCTAGTTTTTTCTTTCTTTTCTTTTCTTTTCTTTTTTGCCTAGTTTTCCTTTTTTTGGCACACTGTGGAGAGGAATGTGTTAAGCCGGCCGGAGTTTTGATTCTCAGGTTCAGCGACTGGGCTGGGCTTTTGAGGCAAGCAGACTTCCTGCAGCAAGAGAGAGAGAGGCAGAGCAGGATGTGTCCAGGGAGAGAGAGGCTGGTCTGAGCATCGAGCAGGTGAGAGAGAATGAGACCCATGGGCTTTCTTGGGGGGGGATTTTTTGCATAGCCAGAGTTGCACCTGTGGGTTGCTGGAGATGGGGAACAGGGGAGAAGGAGCATGCCTACCTAGGGGGCTTTAGGTCCCGAAACAGGGAGGCAGCAGGATCTGGCAGGCAATGGGACATGATGGAAACCCGAGGATTCTGCATGACCAGGGGTACAGAGGAAAAGTTGTAGAGGAAGGGGGTGGGAAGGCAGGGATTTTGGCAAGTGGCATTTTTCCTGGAGGGGAAAGGATACAGCATGGTTCAAGAAGAAGCACGCAGGAAAAAGAAAAAAAAACCTTCCAGGGTTGAACAGTAAGGAACAGAGACTGGCCTCTTGTTGAGACCTTGTTTGTCGAGATCAGATCCTTGAAAGGCAGTCCTACAGAGGAAGGAAGGGCAGGATCTATTCTCCATCATCCCAAAGGGCAGGATCTGTAATCGTGGGTTCAAGCTCCAGGAAGCCAGATTTTTTTTGGCCGAAAATCAGGAAAAACTTCTCCACTGTTCGAGCAGTGCGACAACGGAACCAAGGACCTCGGGGGGCGGGCAGCACTCCAACGCTTGAGGCATTTAAAGGAAAATTGGAGAACCGTCTGTCCGATCTGCTTTGATTTTGATTCCTGATTCTGTGATTCCTTTGTGGCAGGCTTTTGAGCACTTGCAGCAAAACAGTTTGGTTTTTGAAGTGGATGAGTTACATATATATAAAGGTAGCCAAAATGTTTCATCCGCGTGTCTCTCTGGGTATGTGTGTTGTGTGAGGTGGCAAGAAGAATTTTTCCCCCCCCGCTCCGGTCTTGTCCCTGAACTTTGTCCATCTGTCCCTTAAGTTATTTTGCTGTTGTTCAACATCCTGTCACTCAGGCTTATCTCTGTCTCAGCTAAGGTATGTTTCCAAAGGTGTAGCAAATGTTGGTTCATTGCAACAGAAACAGCAAAAGGCCTTATAGCATTTTTTGCATGTAACATATTTTATTTGGCCTAAGCAGCTTGTGAAAACTTATATGACTTGTTCGTTTTTGAGGTGCCGTAAGGCTCTCTCTGTGTATACGTGTCTGCGCATAGTCAGTGGGTGGATTGTCTCACGCAAACTAGAGAGATCCGAGTTCGGGTTCTGCCTCACTCATGAAGCTCATCGGTGACCATAACTGACAGGGTTGTGGTTATGAATCTTTCAAAAAAAGGGACAGCTCCTTTGGTAGAGGCAGGACCCAAATCTGATCGCTTGGGCTTTGGAAAAGGACTTTAAAATCTGAGTAGTAAACCTCATGTTATTTCATCATCCTTCTACCCACCCACCCTCAACTTCAGCAACAACAAGAGATCTTAGAACTGCACATCTGGAAGGACCCAATGGATCATCAAGTCCAGCTGTTTTCAAGGAGGCACAGTGGGGATTTGAACCAACCACTAACCACTCCCGACTAAACCACTGAGATATCCAGCAATTCTGTTTCCTCTTCTTCCTTCCACATCTTCCTTTTAATTTCTTTGCATGACAATTTCTCCCATTCTATCACATTCTGCTTTGAACAGCTACATACTTTTTTAGTCCCAAGACAACTCAATTCCAGCCCTGTTGTTCTCGCTATTATTAGTAGGACAGAGAGCTGATTGCTTAGATGATGAGAAGATATTTCTTTCCTGAGATAGCACAGATTGATTCATGATTTTACAGCCTTGTGTTTCCTCCCGGGTCCCCCCCCCCCCCGGCCCATTATATTTAATTCTTCAAATAAGTCTCTTTAAAAGAGAAGCAGAAAGGGAGGGGAAGAAAAGAGCAAAAGATTTCAAGTGGATTTTAAAAGTTGCTTTTTTGGTCTAGAGATCTTCCTGAATTAGCTAGTCAGCATGGATTCTGGGAGTGCTGCCCAGGGGATAATGGGAGATGTAGTCCAAAAAAGTGACCTTTCCAAGCACTCTACCCACCAAAGTGTCCTGAATGTAAAGCTAACTGGCTGTTTTTCGGCTAAAATCCTAATATAAAACTTTATGCTGTGCAACTAAATATTGTCTTTTAATGGTACTCATAGGAGCCACCTTGGGTCCTTTTTAAGGAGGAAGGTGGAGTAAATAGGATAAAAGAAGGATGACACCTTCAGCCTGCAATAGTAACATTTATACAGTATTTAATTTAACTGAAAGCTTCCTATTAGCTTTTAAGCTTCCCTAGGGCTCATTTTCCCCCCTAGGGAAGCTTTTGAAAGTGGGAAGCCTTTAATAGTTAAAAAAAAAAACCTGCCAAAAATGGGACCACTGCTGCTATTTTTGGCTATTAAAGACACCCTCCCACATATCCTCATGCTCCCAAGGCTTCCCCATGGTGAAAGGGAGCTCTAGGGAGCCTCAGACCCTGAAGGAGGATAGAGGATAGAAAACTTTCAATTCAATTAAATTAAGTTAAATGTTACCATTGGGGGTTGATGATGCCATCCTGGTTGTGCAGCATGAAGTTAAGCCAACAAGATTTCAGACACTAAATCAGAGATCTTAAAATTGGAGGATATTTTAGAGACTATCTATCCCAGTCCCTAATTTGGTGTCTGCTCAATGGTTTAAATCTCCGGGGTTGGGAGTTCGATTCCCCACTGTGCCTTCTTGACAGGGGTTGGACTTGATAAGCAATAGGATCTCTTCCAGCTATGTGGTTCAAAGATGATGATGGTGGCTGTTATTGTCCTCCAGCTCTGCGGTTCAAAGATGATGATGATGATGGCTGTTATTGTCGAGAGTTAATCCAAATGGATTGCCATCCAGCTGCTGCCTGTGTCATTCGTTTCGGTCATTTCATTCATAGTTGTGTCTCACTGTTACTAAGGAAAATAATATATAGAAGTATTCTCAGCCTTTTTGGGAAAGAGATTAAGAAAAATGCATGGAAAGGTTGTTGTTTTTTTTGGACGGCAGGTCCCTGAGCTAGCATGCCACTAGCTCTACTGTTTGGGGACTGTATCGGGAAAAGGAACTTAATGTGCTAAAAGTATTCTTAAGTATGAAGAAAACAGCAGGGTAAAAACAGCCAAAAGAGTCTCAGAGCACCCTAAATACAGACACCTCTATTGCGAAAAAAAACTTTCTTTATTTTCTCCATTAAAAAAAAAGAGCACCCTAAATACAGACACCTCTATTGCAAAAAAAAAATTTTCTCCATTTAAAAAAAACTTTACTGAATGAACATGGAAGCAACAACAAAATATTAGTAGCAGCCTTTCACTAGAAATGCATGATCTGATATACTTGCTTCATGCCATTGTCATCTGTATGCTTTCCTCGATTCGCTCTTCAGTTCATCAAGAACCCATTAGAAGCAATGAGATCAGGGTAAAATACAGACCGTTATTACGGTCAAGCTTACAGGCATGGACATCAGAGTCATTCCTGCAACCTTGCTGACCATAACTCAAAATATCCAGGAGCTGACATGTTAATTAACCTCTGTATTGAGATCATCATAGATGACAAGGCTATCAAAAAATAGCTAGCGGTCCTGAAAGGCATATTTTGGCTTCAGCATCTGATGCAGTGTACATCCAAGAATATGCCACTGTGCTCTTGTCCTGGCAAATGTCCATAAGAAATTAGTCATTGTGGAATCTGATAGCATTTAGATCTATTCCATCAAGGTTCTGCTGAGGTTCTTATGTTAAAAGCTTGCTCTTTCAGTCAGGCCAGAGAATGGATGGGACAATGATGGGCAGGAGGTGGGTGGACTTGTTGACGGACTGATTGGTTGACTCATTATGATTACCTTTCCCCTAATGGACTTGAGGTGGCCTGTACAGCTCCCTTCCCCCCTACTTTATCCGCACAACCGTTTTGTGAGGTAGGCTTATTGGGTGAAAATGATCAGCCGGCCCAAGGTCATCCAGTCAGTTTCATAGCTCTGCGGGGATATGAATCTCTCAAGCCTCAGTAATCCATGATTCTAACCTTTCCACCATCTGGCTTTTTTTGATCCACTGTCATTTAGCAGTTCTGTGGTGGACTTTGCCGTTAAGGAGCTGCCTTCTTCAAAACCAACCAACCAACCAACCAACCAGCCAACCAGCCAACCAACCAACCAACCAACCAACCAACCAACCAACCAACCAACCAACCAACCAACCAACCAACCAACCAACCAACCAACCAACCAACCAACCAACCAACCAACCAACCAACCAACCAAAAACGTCTTTATCCAAGTCCTTGTGTTTGAAACATCTTGCATCCATGACACCAACGTCAACCAACTTGTGTGGCTTTTGTGCCCATGATTAAGATCCTCCCAAGACCCAGCTTTCTGCTCAAGCGGACCCAGTTGGATTTCCCTCAGTTCTTGTTTGGATTTATTTCCACAACTGGTGACCAAGGATGGGACTCTGCAGCCTAAAAAGGATGTTCTCATTGTGGTGGGATGTCCACCTCAGCTTCAGCAAGGGCTGCTGATCCACACTTCTGCTGCCCAGAGACCAAGAAGTGGTCAACATCTCTTTCAAGGTGGGTCTCCGGAGGAGTAGGGAAAGCCATGCCCTGCCAGCGTCGCCCACAGGCCACCAGTGACACTCCAAGGGAGGACCTCTTCTATCAAACCTACTACAGTTTGAGCCAACAGTACCCTTTGATTCTTCTGCTTTTGGTCATCATCTTGGGAATCTGCGTGGCTCTCATCGTGACATCTTTTGCCAGTGGAAGGGTATGTACGCTTGCACCAATCAAGTTGGTAGGATGGCAGATGCAGGGGGAGATCTGTAGCGAATAGATTAGGGGTGAAGCTGACTCTGGGGACTGCTCTCTGGAAGGAAAGCAGGGCTGTAGCTCAGTGGGCGTGCAGGGAGAAGGTCCAAGATTGAATCCTTCCCACGAAGTATAGACCACTGGGTCTGGATGCAAAAACCTGCATGCTGAAGATCTCAGATTTTATTCCTGTCAGGAGGAACCATGGCCTAGTAGGTTAGTTAGAGCACAATGATTTTACTGAACTCCCTGAGCTGCACAGTCCCAGCCCGCACAAAATCTTCATTATTCAATCAAAACCAAGCCAGCTCCAAATGCTTTGTAATACAATAGGGATAGTTCAAAACAATGTATTATGGCTGGGAAAATCCACTCCTTACTGGCTTCCTTCCACTGTGAGAACTGCATGTATGCCCAGAGGGAAAAAATGGAAAACCTGGATGAGTCAGTAGAAAGTCGGGATAGGAATCTGATGAGTACTTAGAAAATTTCTCATTCTCGACTATTCTTCTATTGCCATGCCAAGACTCCCTGCCAAGCCTTCCCCTTTGTACCAAAGAGATTTCCTGGATTTCTGCAAGACCTGGACTCTGGTCTTGTTCTCTCCTTTCCCCCAGATTTTCTTTTCTTTTTTTTCCTGTTGTACACAGGAAACGTTCCCATTTTGTGTGGCTTAACGCCCTTTTTGATGGATCCTGCGCAGGAAAGATGCCATTCCAAATGCATTCTGTGCAGGACTTGGAGCAATCCTGCACAGCTTGGTGCTGCCTCTGCCCTTTTCAATAGACACTGTCTTCCCAACCTCGGCACCCCAGATGTTCTCGGACTACAACTCCCAGAAATCCTGGCCGGCACAGCTAGTGGTGAAGTCTTCTGGGAGTTTTAGTCCAAGAACATCCGGAGACCCAAGGCTAGGAACCACTGCAGCAGAGAGTCCTGAACAGGAGATGCGCCATCCTGTACAAAAATTGTAATAACCCTATGCAGTGTGACATTTCTTTCATGAAAATTTGCCATGAAATTTAAACAAATCTCACAAGTTTCTTTGAATGAGTCTTATGCAGACGAATCTCTCTGCAAGAAGAAAAGGCTGATGTCACTCACTCCTTTCCTCTGATAGGAAAATCCCCCCCCCCAAACAATCACATCCTTAGGATGGGAGAAGAGATCATGTTCCCTGGTAAGAAAGAAATTCCTGTACTATATGCCCTGGCTTCAGCTGTATCACTAATGCAGCCTTGCAAAGCACAGCTGCAAACTATGGAAGCCACCACATCTATGAGCTTAGCAGCACTGTGTAGTTGTTGAGGGGAACCTGTTTTTGCTTCCTGGTACTGTGAAGATGACAGCTAAGGATGGCGGAGAGAAAGTACAGGGTAACATGGATGGAACGGTAGATGCCATGTCTTGAGTCACTGTGGTTCTGTGGTCTCTTACTGGAAAGAGATGAGTTTCCAGAGGGAGACCACCACTGCACTGAGGAGCCAAACTGCCTGTATCCCGTTGTTAAAATTCACTGGCCAGAATCCTGGTATTTAGTATAGTAAGTTTCACTAAAATAGGTCTGTTTTGTCACTGGGGATTTGATGAGTCCTCCATTAATTCTATTGAATCAAGTGAGCCTAGTCCAGGTCATGACTTACTTTCGTGGAGTAAGCTGCAACTAGAGTAAGCCCATTGAATTAATGGCATGGAGAAGCTGGCTTACCAAATCTCCACTGATTCTATGGGCCCACCCTAGTGTGACTTACTATGGCCAACAATGGGATTTCAGCCGTTGTCTCCAACTCTGTTGAGCACACAGGGTCACTGTCTGTAGGATCAGCCCGTAGTCCCCTTTGTACCAAGCTTGTGGGCTCTGACTGGCAGACTTTTAAAAGCAGAGATCTTTATAGGATCATAGAATAATGGAGCTGGAGGAAGCCTATAAGGCCATTGAGTCGTGACTTACTATGGCCAACAATGGGATTTCAGCCGTTGTCTCCAACTCTGTTGAGCACACAGGGTCACTGTCTGTAGGATCAGCCCGTAGTCCCCTTTGTACCAAGCTTGTGGGCTCTGACTGGCAGACTTTTAAAAGCAGAGATCTTTATAGGATCATAGAATAATGGAGTTGGAGGGAGCCTATAAGGCCATTGAGTCCAAACCGACCCACCCCCTGCTCAAGGCAGGAATCCAGATCAAAGTGGGTCTGACAGATGATTGTCTAATTTTCTCTTAAGTGCATCCCACATTGGAGCACTCACCACCATTGAAAATAATTGGTTCCATTATTGCACTGCTCCAACCGTTAAGATGTTCTTCCTGATCTTCAGCCTAAATCTGGCTTCCTGTAGCTTGAGCCCAACTGGTTTTTTGGTCCTTTTCATTAAGGATCCATGGAGCAGATGGCTCCCTAGGGGAAAGCTAAGGCATTGCCCCAATCGAGACAAATGTAAAACACTTCCTCTTTTTTTGCCCCTCCAGGATTTCTCCTCCAACGTGGGATTCTTGGTTACCTTATTCGTCGCCCTGGTTGTGTTCAGCCTCATCCTGATCCTCGTGTGCATCGAAAGCATCTTCCAGCGATGTACCCGGATCTTCTCTGCTATCATTTGGACTTGCCTGATCACAATGGGATACGTCTTTGTCTTCACAGGAGGGGTGGTTAGTGCCTGGGACCAGGTGAGGGGCCAAGCCTTAAAAAATTGAACAAATATAAAGGATGTTGGCAAATCTTTGGGTCAAAGTCTTTGGTACCAAGCGCCAAGCCTCAAGTCAGAATCTCTATTAAATATCAGCTCGCCCCCCCCCCCGGAAACAGGGAGGGGGTGGGTGGGTTCTGAGTTGCGAGTCAAATTTGAATGATTGGGGGGAAAAAAAACCTGATTCGAATCTGAGTCTCTGGTGTGACTTAAGCCCGACTTGACCTCAAGTCCCTGACGAAAACGAGCGAATGTGTTCATTCTTGCTGAAAGTTTTTCTCATCTTCAATGTCTATATATATTTTGCTTCTCTGTCCCAGCAAAAAATCCAAAACACTGAGGCTTTTTTGGTGTTGCTGTTGTCTATCATTATCAATCAAAAAAAGGGGTTTTTGATCTATCTCTCTATCTCTCTCTCTCTCTCTCTCTCTCTCTCTTTCTATCTATCTATCTATCTATCTATCTATCTATCTATCTATCTATCTATCTATCTATCTATCTATCTATCTATCTATCTATCTATCTATCTATCTATCTATCTATCTATCTATCTATCTATCAGGAGCCAATTCTTTATGGAGATCTGTGGGTCAATACTTGAGATGGATTCTGTCTGTGGAAGACCCATGAACTGGAAAGCTATTTTTCATTGCTCCGGTGGAGGCTGAGATCCTGCTTCCAAAACTATAATCAATTTTGTTTGGAGAAACCCTTCAGCCAATCCTCTGATTTGATTTCCCTGCCCTTCCCCAAAGGACATTGATATTTTCCTTTCTTGAATTTCCTCGGACGAATGACTAATGCTAAGGCTGTTTTTCCAAGGTCTCCTTCTTCCTCTTCATCATCTTCATTGTTTACACGATGTTGCCCGTCGGCATGGAAGATGCGGTGGCTGCTGGCATGGTCTCCTCCCTCTCCCATATCATAGTCCTCACGGTCTACCTCTCCATGAAGCCCGGCTCACAACTGGACTTGACTGTGCAGGTAAACTTGCCCCAACCAGCTGGATTGATGGCCATAATGTCAAATAGATGCCCCTGCTCTTCGTTCCATATGTCCTAGCTAAGCTTTATTCTCTGAGTTTCTCCCTGTTACACAACTTTTGTGTGATCCCATTTTTCACTTCTCAGCCCCAGATGAGAGCTTGGAACATGTTTCAAAGGAACTTCTTATGTTTCTCATTACTTGTGGCAGCCAATTTCTTTGGCAAAAATAACCCCTTTTGTGTTATTAATGTGCAATTGACTAGCAGAGAAAAATGCAGGGAAGACATTGATACTGAGAGTACATTGAAACTCAACCTCTTTTTAGTGGCCAATGTTGATAATGTAACTTGGAAAACATACTAAAATTAAAAAAAGATGAAATAAAACAGCACTAAGGGAAGGGCAGCTGGCTAGATAGCTCAGTGGTTTCGCTGTCTGGCTGTGGAGTCAGAGGTTTGGAGTTCGATTCCCCACTGTGCCTCCAGGGAGAAGAGCCACACACTCCACTAGGTCATCTTCCCCTCCTGATCGGACCTTCTGCTCTGTTTTTCCTTTCAGCTCCTGGCCAATCTGGTGATTTTTATATGTGGCAACTTGGTTGGGGCCTACCACAAACATCTGATGGAAATGGCCTTGGGGGAGACTTTCCATGAAACGTTCAACCTCATCCAATCCCGAGTGAAGCTGGAGTCTGAAAAACGGCATCAGGTTAGTCTGGAAGAAAATACGGAGCATGTTAAGCACCTGGCTGATGGGGGGAACATCTCAGGCATCTTTCCTGGCATCTCCAGATACCCCTGTCTGATCCTGTGTAGCTGTCAGTTTAATACCACTGGAGGTGTCGTGGCCACATCTTGTGAACTCATGGGATTTGTAGTTTGGTGAGATGTTCAGAATTCAAAGAAGCGCACTGGAGTTCTCAAGCAAGGAATTCTAGGTACCAAGCTAAACTACAAATCCCAGAATTACATAGGAAGAAGCCATGATGTCTAGAATGGTATCAAATTGCTATTACAGTGGTGCCTCGCTAGACGATGTTAATTCATTCTGTGAAAATCGCTGTTCTACAAAAACATAGTCTAGCGAAGCATGGTTCCCCATTGGAATGCATTGAAATCCATTTAATGCGTTCCAATGGAAAAAAGTCGTCGTCGTTTTGCGAAGATCGGCCATAGGGAAACAGTTTTGCGAAGCGCCGATCAGCTGTCAAAATCGTCGTCTAGCAAAAAACGGTCCCTTAAAAAACCAGTTTGCGAAGCGCGGACCCAGCTGTCAAAATTGTTGTCTAGCGAGGCATCGGTCCAGAAAAAAAAAAAAATGTCTTGCGAAGCACGGACCGAAACATTGTCCAATGAATATTGCCCATAGGGAAAGCCATTTTGCGAAGCGCTATAGTGATCGCAAAAGCTCATTGTCTAGTGGATTTGTCGTTTTGCAAGGCCATCGTCTAGCGAGGCACCACTGTACTGTGTAGTATAGATGAAAACACTGGAGAGCTACTGCTGGTCAGTAATACTGAGCTTGATGAGCCAAAGGTCCAACTGGGCCTAAGGCAGCGTCTCTAGTACATGTGAAATGGGTTGGCTGCTTTTGATGCTGTTCATATCCTCTAGTCTTTAATTAATATCCGTAGCAGTGCCAAAGCTTAAATCAGGACTGGGCATTGCATCCAAGCATAGGTGGACGCATGTTCTCCAGCTAGCTTGCCTCATCCAAGAGAGTCCATCAAACTTATGGAACACCCTTGGGTTTGGAGGCTAGCAATAAAGTTTTGCCTGCAGGTTGTTTAGTCCTCTGTTCGGAGGGCCGTTGAAATTTATTCAGTTGTTGTGTTTCTCTTTCCCATGTCCCTGCTGATAATTCCAGGAGCATCTGCTCCTCTCCATCCTTCCAGCCTACATCGCCTTGGAGATGAAGGCTGAGATCATTGAGAGGCTTCGGGATGGGGGCCAGGCGCAACACCGGCACGAGAGTGCCAATAATTTCCACAACCTCTATGTCAAGCGCCACCAGAACGTTATCTATCTATCTATCTATCTATCTATCTATCTATCTATCTATCTATCTATCTATCTATCTATCTATCTATCTATCTATCTATCTATCTATCTATCTATCTATCTATCTATCTATCTATCAGGAGCCAATTCTTTATGGAGATCTGTGGGTCAATACTTGAGATGGATTCTGTCTGTGGAAGACCCATGAACTGGAAAGCTATTTTTCATTGCTCCGGTGGAGGCTGAGATCCTGCTTCCAAAACTATAATCAATTTTGTTTGGAGAAACCCTTCAGCCAATCCTCTGATTTGATTTCCCTGCCCTTCCCCAAAGGACATTGATATTTTCCTTTCTTGAATTTCCTCGGACGAATGACTAATGCTAAGGCTGTTTTTCCAAGGTCTCCTTCTTCCTCTTCATCATCTTCATTGTTTACACGATGTTGCCCGTCGGCATGGAAGATGCTGTGGCTGCTGGCATGGTCTCCTCCCTCTCCCATATCATAGTCCTCACGGTCTACCTCTCCATGAAGCCCGGCTCACAACTGGACTTGACTGTGCAGGTAAACTTGCCCCAACCAGCTGGATTGATGGCCATAATGTCAAATAGATGCCCCTGCTCTTCGTTCCATATGTCCTAGCTAAGCTTTATTCTCTGAGTTTCTCCCTGTTACACAACTTTTGTGTGATCCCATTTTTCACTTCTCAGCCCCAGATGAGAGCTTGGAACATGTTTCAAAGGAACTTCTTATGTTTCTCATTACTTGTGGCAGCCAATTTCTTTGGCAAAAATAACCCCTTTTGTGTTATTAATGTGCAATTGACTAGCAGAGAAAAATGCAGGGAAGACATTGATATTGAGAGTACATTGAAACTCAACCTCTTTTTAGTGGCCAATGTTGATAATGTAACTTGGAAAACATACTAAAATTAAAAAAAGATGAAATAAAACAGCACTAAGGGAAGGGCAGCTGGCTAGATAGCTCAGTGGTTTAGGTGTCTGGCTGTGGAGTCAGAGGTTTGGAGTTCGATTCCCCACTGTGCCTCCAGGGAGAAGAGCCACACACTCCACCATGTCATCTTCCCCTCCTGATCGGACCTTCTGCTCTGTTTTTCCTTTCAGCTCCTGGCCAATCTGGTGATTTTTATATGTGGCAACTTGGTTGGGGCCTACCACAAACATCTGATGGAAATGGCCTTGGGGGAGACTTTCCATGAAACGTTCAACCTCATCCAATCCCGAGTGAAGCTGGAGTCTGAAAAACGGCATCAGGTTAGTCTGGAAGAAAATACGGAGCATGTTAAGCACCTGGCTGATGGGGGGAACATCTCAGGCATCTTTCCTGGCATCTCCAGATACCCCTGTCTGATCCTGTGTAGCTGTCAGTTTAATACCACTGGAGGTGTCGTGGCCACATCTTGTGAACTCATGGGATTTGTAGTTTGGTGAGATGTTCAGAATTCAAAGAAGCGCACTGGAGTTCTCAAGCAAGGAATTCTAGGTACCAAGCTAAACTACAAATCCCAGAATTACATAGGAAGAAGCCATGATGTCTAGAATGGTATCAAATTGCTATTACAGTGGTGCCTCGCTAGACGATGTTAATTCATTCTGTGAAAATCGCTGTTCTACAAAAACATAGTCTAGCGAAGCATGGTTCCCCATTGGAATGCATTGAAATCCATTTAATGCGTTCCAATGGAAAAAAGTCGTCGTCGTTTTGCGAAGATCGGCCATAGGGAAACAGTTTTGCGAAGCGCCGATCAGCTGTCAAAATCGTCGTCTAGCAAAAAACGGTCCCTTAAAAAACCAGTTTGCGAAGCGCGGACCCAGCTGTCAAAATTGTTGTCTAGCGAGGCATCGGTCCAGAAAAAAAAAACCCGTCTTGTGAAGCACGGACCGAAACATTGTCCAATGAATATTGCCCATAGGGAAAGCCATTTTGCGAAGCGCTATAGTGATCGCAAAAGCTCATTGTCTAGTGGATTTGTCGTTTTGCAAGGCCATTGTCTAGCGAGGCACCACTGTACTGTGTAGTATAGATGAAAACACTGGAGAGCTACTGCTGGTCAGTAATACTGAGCTTGATGAGCCAAAGGTCCAACTGGGCCTAAGGCAGCGTCTCTAGTACATGTGAAATGGGTTGGCTGCTTTTGATGCTGTTCATATCCTCTAGTCTTTAATTAATATCCGTAGCAGTGCCAAAGCTTAAATCAGGACTGGGCATTGCATCCAAGCATAGGTGGACGCATGTTCTCCAGCTAGCTTGCCTCATCCAAGAGAGTCCATCAAACTTATGGAACACCCTTGGGTTTGGAGGCTAGCAATAAAGTTTTGCCTGCAGGTTGTTTAGTCCTCTGTTCGGAGGGCCGTTGAAATTTATTCAGTTGTTGTGTTTCTCTTTCCCATGTCCCTGCTGATAATTCCAGGAGCATCTGCTCCTCTCCATCCTTCCAGCCTACATCGCCTTGGAGATGAAGGCTGAGATCATTGAGAGGCTTCGGGATGGGGGCCAGGCGCAACATCGGCACGAGAGTGCCAATAATTTCCACAACCTCTATGTCAAGCGCCACCAGAACGTCAGGTACTATCTTCTAAGGCTGTTGTTTACAAGATTTTTCTGACATGGTTTTTATCGGGGACCCTCTGCATCTCCAGATGTTTTGGCCCACAACTGCTACATCGATTTCTTACTGTTGGTCATGCAGGAAAGAGTTGATGGATCTTGTAGGACACAACATCTAGGACAATGGTTCTCAAGCTTGGGTCCCTGGAAGTTCTTGGACTAAAACTCCCAGAAGCCTTCACCACTAGCTGTGCTGGTCAGGATTCCTGGGAGTTGCAGTTCAAGAACATTTGGAGACCCAAGGTTGGGAACCATTGATCTTGGAGTTTCAAAGTTCTGTAGCTATGCATGAGTGATGGGGTTGGGGGGAAGGAAAAGAACTGGGTGAGGAAAAGTAAAGGAGTGTTCACTCCACCCAACAAGAAACTGATCCACTCAATATTTCTCTCTCTCTTTCTCTCTCTCTCTGTTCTTCGTCCGCCAAAGCATTCTCTATGCAGACATTGTTGGGTTCACTCTCCTGGCCAGTGAATGCTCCCCCAAAGAACTAGTTCTTATGCTCAATGAACTCTTTGGCAAGTTCGATCAGATCGCCAAGGTGAGTAAGTGACTCAGTGGCTTCCAAAACAAAACCAGAACCAAGGGGAAAAAAACCCTCATCTCCAATAATCTTAGTTATTTAACCCACCTGGTTTCCCAAGCAGAACCCTAGTTGCAAGAGCAGTGGCAGACCTCCAGCATTCACATTAGTGGGTCTCTCTAAATCAAGGTGTTGTTGTTGTTATGTACCATCAAGTTTCATCTGACTCTATGAATGAGCGATCTCCAAGTTGTCGTATCCTTAACTGCCCTGCTCAGGTCTTGTAAACTCAAGTGTGTGGCTTCCTTCAGAGAGTTAGTACATCTCACATTTGGTCTTCCTCTGTTCCTGCTGCCCTCCACCTTTCCCAACATTATTGTCTTTTCCATAGAATCTTGCCTTCTCAGCCTCAGTTTCAACATTTTTTTGTCTCCAGAGACCATTCAGGCTTGATTCGATTTAGGACCCACTTGTCCATCTTTCTGGCAGTCCAGGGTATCCACAAAACTCTCCTTCAAGCTGGTGCTCTGTTATTCTATTTATCCATAGTTCCCTTTTCTTAGCAGCTCAAAAGCATGTAATAATGCGAATAAATAAATAGGTACCATCTTGATGGGAAGGCAAACAGCGTTTCGAATCTAAGTTGCGCTGGCCACGTGACCATGGAAACTGTTTACAGACAAACACTGGCTCTACGGCTTGGAAATGGAGATGAGCACTGTGCTCTAGAGTCGGACACGACTGGACTAAATGTCAAGGGGAACCTTTCCCTTTACCTTAGAAGTGTCCTATAAGTGTTCGACTGAACTAAATGTCAAGGGGATCCTTTTTCTTTACCTTAGAAGTGTCCTAGAAGTGTCTGAAATAAAAACAATGTTAATGAACTTTAACTATATCAGAATCATGCCTAAGCTTTTTCACATATGTGGACCTTTCTTTTTAGTTACATTACTCTTTATCATGATTATTAATGTTGTATACTTCTTGTTACTAGTAATTATTATCAATTATCATGATTGTTTACTTTTTTATCATCATCATCATCACCACATGTTGACAGCTATATAAGTAGAATTTGAGAAGCTGCTCTTTAAAATATTACACTTCTCTCTCACGATTGAACGGTCCAAAAGTCCAAGATCTGGCATGGGAAATATCTTTATTGAATTGCTAAAGAGTCACAAAGAAGGCAATCTTTTGAGATCCACAGAACTCTTCATCAGGCAAAGACGTTACAAAGACGGGGTCAAGGCAAACAAAAACTGGGCTCAAGGTGATGCCTGTCTTGAAAACAGATTTCTGTCAAAGGCAAGTTGGAGTTTGCAGATTCCACCTGTAGATCCAGCTGAATTTTGCCCTTCTTATATAAACCTCCCATCTCTCCATATACTGAGACAGATTTGTGCATCCATATTTGGTTAACCCATAACACTCCTGTGGGTGTAGGGAATGGATTCCAGCTCAGATGGTAAAACCTGAATCCAATCCCTATTTCCTCCTAGGATAACGAGTGCATGCGGATAAAGATTTTGGGTGACTGCTACTACTGTGTCTCCGGATTGCCCGTCTCTCTGCCCAACCACGCCCGTAACTGTGTCAAGATGGGGCTTGACATGTGCCGGGCCATCAAGTGAGTGGAGGTGGGATGATTGGTGATGCTGGAAAGTGCGTGGAGGTGAGACGGTTTGGCTCTGTGCTTTTTGAAAAGGATCCCAGATCAAGAATATAATAGGGATGGTCTGATTTACCATTTGTGTCTAGGGCTGGCCCTACCATTACAAAGTCCAGTGGTTTCCAACCTTTTTGGCCCTGTGCTTTTTGAAAAGGATCCCAGATCAAGAATATAATAGGCATGGTCTGATTTCCCATTTGTGACTAGGGCTGGCCCTACCATTACATATTCCAGCGGTTTCCGCGTTTTGTTTTAGTCCAAGAACATCTGGGTACCCAGAGAGGGTGGTGGCTGCCACTCATGCAGTGGATGCTAAGGGGCTAAAAAGTGTGGACCAAAAGTAAGATTTTAGGCAATCCAGTACTGTGTGTGTACTATTTGGTTGGCCTCCCTCTCTTAAACTAGTCTGCTTGTGTTGTGGAACATACTGTCCCATGAACTTTGTTGAAGTTTTAGTCCAAGAACATCTGGGTACCCAGAGAGGGTGGTGGCTGCCACTCATGCAGTGGATGCTAAGGGGCTAAAAAGTGTGGACCAAAAGTAAGATTTTAGGCAATCCAGTACTGTGTGTGTACTATTTGGTTGGCCTCCCTCTCTTAAACTAGTCTGCTTGTGTTGTGGAACATACTGTCCCATGAACTTTGTTGAAATTACAATCCGGTCAGGTTCCGTATCGAATTTGGAGGGTTGGTGGGGTGGAATGTAGTAGCTTGTCCTTTGCCTTAAACAGTATAAATATTGCAGGGCATCCCTGTCTAAAAGCCTTGGCTTCTGGATGTCTCCTTTTCTGGAAAACTATCATCTTTTACAATCTAGAACGGAAGACATTTTGATCTACAAATGTCTTTCCTCTACATCAGTGGTTCCCAAGCTTGGGACTCTAGATGTCCTTGGATTAAAACTCCCAGAAGTCATCACAATGTTCTTGGACTACAACTCCCAGAAGTTTGACAGCACCCTGGTAGAGTGAACTTTTAAATGTTCAGGACCCAGAAGCCATCACCATTAGCTGTGCTGGCCAGAATTTCTGGGAGATATAGTCCAAGAACGTCTGGGGACCCAGGGTTTGGGTAACCCATCTGTTCTTGGACTGCAATTCTCAGAAACCATGGCCAACAAGCTAGTGGTGAAGGCACCTGGAAGTTGCAGTCTCAGAACAACTGGGTTACCCAAAACTGGGAACCACTGCCCTAGATGAATTCCAAGAAAGGCTTTATTTGAAAAGGCTATTTTTAGTTTTCAAACTATGGCTTGTTTAAACCATGGCTTAGTGTTATGCCTGAATTTCAAACTATGGCTTGTTTAAACCATGGTTTAGTGTTATGCCTGAATCTGGATATATGCTTATCTTTGCCTTTTTTCATTAGTTGCATTCCCTGCAAGAAAGGGGTGGAAGAGAAACTCAATAGAAGTGAGGATAATAATCAGTGGACTACATAGATATTGATATATAATCTATTTGCTGATCTGGATTAGATACGTACTTCATTTTAATTCGTGTTTTTTTTTCTGTGTGGCACCCCCACAGGAAGTTGCGAGATGCCACTGGAGTGGATATCAACATGAGAGTGGGGGTCCATTCTGGAAACGTCCTCTGTGGGGTGATTGGACTTCAGAAGTGGCAGTATGATGTCTGGTCTGATGACGTGACTTTAGCCAATCACATGGAAGCAGGGGGTGTGCCAGGGTGAGAGAAATGAGGTGGTGAGCAGAAACGCTCCCATGTGGTACCAGAAGGGGGCGTCAGGTTATTTTCTGTGTGGTTTGAATACTGACCTCTAGTGGGCTGTGAAGGAATTTCAAGAGCAACACAAATGATTCCAACACATGTCTGATTCAACATATTGCTGTTTCAAAATTTTTGAGGATCTTAAGTCCATAGATACTGGACAGACCTTAAATGGTAGAGTTCTTGCTGTTACGTGCCCTCCCAGAAGGGGGCGTCAGGTTGTTTTCTGTGTGGTTTGAATACTGACCTCTAGTGGGCTGTGGAGGAATTTCAACAACAACACAAATGGTTCCAACACGTCTGATTCAACATCCCGCTGTTTCAAAATTTTTGAGGATCTTAAGTCCATAGATACTGGACAGACCTTAAATGGTAGAGTTCTTGCTGTTACGTGCCCTCAAGTTGGAAACAGTTTATAGCGACCCTAAAGCAAGTGAGGTATTTAAGGAATGGGTTCACCAGTTTCACATCCCCAGTGATTTTCCAGGGCTCAGTCGGGATTTGAACCCAGACCTCCCGAGTCCTAGTCTGTCACTCTCGCTACTATACCGCACTGGCTACCCGACAGTAGGGTACATCAGGAAAAAAAATCTTTCCAGAAAATTGAAGTGACCAAGGATGTAGGACCGAAATCCAATTGTCAGTCCTAATTAGCAAGTCCTAATGCATCTACTCTTGTTGAGAGTAAGGTCTGAATGTTTGCCCTAAAGTTATTCCTGACCCAATTTTCTGCCAAAAGGGAATTGCTGGTAATAGAAACATTAGGTATTGGGAAGTTCTCATTCTTAATTAGTTGAACTTCATTAAAGGAGGTTCCCTTGACTAATTTATTTTATGTTTGTTTGTTTGTTTGTTTGTTTATTTATTTATTTATTTTCATGTGCTGTTAAGTCAATTCTGACTTACAGTTACCCTTTTTGGGAGCTTTCCAGGTAGAAAATACTCAGAAGTGGTTTTCCATTTCCTTCTTCTGGGGTCATCTCGGGACTCTACAGCTTGCCCAAGGCCACACAGGCTGGCTCTTCTCTCAGGAGACCCAGTGGGGAATCGAAATTCCAACCTCTGGCTTCACAGCCATATACAGTGATAACACGCTAGACAATGTTAATTTGTTCTGTCAAAATCAGTGTCTTGTGAAAACATCGTCTAGTGAAGCTCGGTTCCCCATTGGAATGCATTGAAGTCCGTTTAATGCATTTCAATGGGGAAAAATAATCGTTGTTTTGCGAAGATTGGCCATAGGGAAACCATTTTGCAAATGGCCAATCAGCTGTTAAAATCATCATCTAGTGAACAACGGTTCCTTAAAAAAACGGTTTGCAAAGCGTGGACCGAGCTGTCAAAATCGTCGTGTAGTGAGGCATTGGTCCCAGGAAAAAACCCATCTTGCGAAGCACGGACCGAAACATCGTCCAGCGAAAATTGCCCATAGGGAAAGCACTATAGCGATCGCAAAAGCTCATCGTCTAGCAGATTTGTTGTTTTGCGAGACCATCGTCTAGTGAGGTACCACTGTACCTAAATCACTGAGCCATCCAGCCAACTATTTCCTTTATACCTTTATTACTCTTATATTATATTGTATTGTTAACTGGCCAGAGTAGTGACTCACACTAATCAGGTGGTATAGAAGTTCATTCAGTCGATCAATCAATCAATCAATCAATCAATCAGTTTCGAGATTAATGTTATCAGTTTGACCCTGTGATGATTGCAAACTAAAAGAACTGGATTTGATCCCCCCCCGATTAATCTCAGTTCTTCATTAAATGATGATCACCAACTCTTGTGATCAAAAGGATCTACTGTTCTTCAAAACTATTCCCTGGTTTACAGAGAAATTTGCTTAAATTCTTTTGAGAAGGGATAGGAGCACGGACAGAGAGAAAATGCAATATCAGTGATTTTTTTTAAATGGCCCAGATCAAACTATTAAGACAGGAAACCTCTTTTTAAATGGGGTGCCAATGTTGACCCATGCATCATTATCGCTCACGATAACTTTAATTGTAAATGTTCCCATTTAATTGGTTCCCAGTTCTCCACCTCATTCCGGCACTATATTTATATTTATCTAAAAATATCCCCAGGAATGAATGAGGGAGTCTTTGGTGAAATTACAGGCAGTAATTTCTCGGAGCTGAACTGAAATATGAAAGCGATACTATGCCTTCGGCAGGCTTTAGCAGAAGTACGAGACAACTAAGTGCTTCGCTCGCAAAAGGATACCGCATAATGGCTAATGTTCTCAGTACTTAATGTCGTTGTTGTTTTTCCACTGGCAGAAGCTACTGTTGGTGTGGAACGAATGAAAAAAAAAGTTGTTTGGTCTTTGTACAAAATCCTAAAACGAGGCTGAGTGATATCTTTGTTGGACCACTGAATTCTGCAAATAAGCTAGCTTTTGAGTCTGCAGCAGGCTTAGCAAAGCAGAGGAAGTCAGATCTGCTTTGATTTGGATTCCTAAATTGAGCAGGGAATTGGACCCGATGGCCTTATCGGCGCCTCTGAACTCCTTTGTTCTGTGAGATAAAGACAGGCAATGAAAGGCACAATCCTTTGAGCTGGTACCCACTCCGTCCAGTTGATTCTAAACATGTTGTACTCTCTGGAGATCCTCAGAGGAGACCCTCCTCACAGTTCTGCTGCCCTCACAGGTATGCTTGGTGGGGACGCAGGGGAGGGCCTTCTCTGTGGCGGCGCCTGGATTGCAGGATGCTCTCCCTCCAGAGGTTGAGTCGACTACCTCCCTTTTATCCTTCTGCTGGTGGCTGAAGACCCACCTTTTAAGCAAGGCATTTAATAATGCATTCCTGCATGCTGGATTTTAGCTTAGTAAGTTTGTTTTTAAAGTTTTGAATGCCTTTAATCCCTTAAAGCATTCATAATAATAATAATAACCACCACTACCACCTTTTAGTTTATTGCATTTTAATTGTACTTGTTTTAACATTGCAAGCCAACATTTGAAGCTTCCTCATCAGGAGAAAGGCAGTCTATAAATGGAACGAACGAACGAACGAACGAACGAACGAACTAATTAACTTACTAACTAACTAACTAACTAACTAACTAACTAACTAACTAACTAACTAACTAACTAACTAACTAACTAACTAACTAACTAACTAACTAACTAACTAACTAACTAACTAACTAACTAACTAACTAACTAACTAACTAACTAACTAACTAACTAACTAACTAACTAACTAACTAACTAACTAACTAACTAACTAACTAACTAACTAACTAACTAACTAACTAACTAACTAACTAACTAACTAACTAACTAACTAACTAACTAACTAACTAACTAACTAACTAACTAACTAACTAAGAACTTTAAACAAGACAGCCTAGCCCCAATGTCTCCTTATTTTGGGGGCCTTTTGTGTCCTCCCCAAGCTTGACAATGCCCTCCTTGATAAGCCACTCTGCAGGACTCAAAAGCTAGCCTGCCTTTGATACTTCAGTAGTCTCGTGAAGGTATCTCTCGCTCGTGTTTTGGGAGTTTGGCGACCTCTAGTGGTGCATGCGGGACATGGGACGATCTCCACAATTCAGGGAAACTTCCGAGGTGTGCGAATCAGTGCTTGCGTATGGAAATCTGGGCCTTCCTTATTTTGTGGCTGTCGAAGTTGAGATGCCAGTTTTAAGAACCAGGATGAAAACAGCGGTGCCTGGAAAAACCCGACGTACACACGTCACTGTGTCTTGCATTGATTTATGCTTTCGGAAGCCCAAAAGACCTCTCCATACCTTTCCCTTCCAGGAGGGTGCATATCACGGAGGCCACACTGTCACACCTCGGTGGTGTCTATGCTGTGGAGGAAGTTTGTTGCTGGCATCGCGATCCTTACCTGAAGGAGAACCGAATCAGATCTTTCTTGGTCATCGATCCCAGGGTGAGGATCCCTTTGTGACGGCTGCAGGGAGAACCCTCTTGTCCTACCCTGTATAGGGAAGCTTGCCAGAGAGCTGATATTTTGTGTTGTTGAAGGACTGGCTTTGTATGCACAAGATCTCCAGATGAGGACGGACTTCCATCCTTGCTGGGGAGCTCTTGCCATGCAATACTGAGCCAGGCAGACCAGAATAGTCACTTCTATTGGCACTAAGTGGGATGTTTTTTGTTGCAGAGTTTTGAATTTTTGGTAAAACCCCTTTGCTATACAATAGAAATACAGAGATTTACAGAAGAGAATAGCTACAAGTTCCCCAGCTAGTCCACCCCTTTAACTGACACTTAATATCTCAATAACTCACTCTGAAACATTTGTAGGAAAAAGAATAAAAATGTTTCATTACTTACAGTTGTGAACAGATCAAGAGCAAACTAACAACAACACTGTTTCCAACAGACTGAAGAGAGGGAAAGGAACACTCAGCATAGGGGCGGGGCTCTCTCTGAATTCAGAGGCAGGAAAAAACGATTGGTTAGTGCTGGAGAGAGTGACAGCCACCCCAGCCCCAAAATAGTCCCACCCAGTTACTCAAACCATAGGCAATATGAGAGGTTGCAAAAACTCA